CATAAATCTGTGTGAGGGGAGGAGTCAGCGTGCCAGGCTTGGCCTCATATGGCAAGGAACTGTGGGTAATCGAAGCATTTCTGCAGGGTAGGAGGCCAAGCGGCAAGGCAGACCCTCAGCAACAAGGGAGGGGCAAAATGCAAGACGTATACCCAGCAATTTTTCAAGTAGGAAAAAGGGGACATCAGATTTCAGTTTTTGAAAAATCACTCCTGATAACTTTTTAAAAGATGAGCCAGAGGGGGGAATCCACAAACAAAATCCAAGCAAAAAAGGATGTGTTTATGCAGGAGTGGCTTAGAACACTGAAAGAAGGATACACATTGGAGAAATTTTCTAAGGCAGAGTAAACTGGATTTGGTGAAGCAGTGTGTGTAGGGGTAGAGGAAAAGATGGCCCCACCAGCGGGACAGCCAAGTGGCAGGGCAAAGGGAGGAGTCAAGGTTAGTGGAGGGGCTGACCCTGTGGAGGGGAGTCTGAATCCACTGGGACGAAAAGAAGCTGCAGATTCCGTCCAGTTCTTGACTCCCAGAGCACTGGAGACAGGTTAGGCCTCCCTCTCCTCTCTCCTCCCCTAACAGGTCCTTGTCTCCCGCTAGCTCAGCCCAATAACTCATGCTGCAGACTAGAGAAGCATTTGTATTGCCAGATTCTTCTAGCTAAATGTGTACCATGTGTCCCGCTAACCTTTACAACAGCGGGGAAATGTCTTGTAATTAAGCAGAATATAAAGGATGAATGGAGCAGCCTGGCAATCTCCTGTAGTCATTATCATTCAGAGGAGATGAATGCACCTAGTAAGATTTCCATCAACCAGTTAGAGCCAGCACTCTTCTCCTGGGAGTCCCGACTTTGTTCACGTACAGTGAAAAACTGTGGACAGTATAGGTGTGGGACTAGTATTTTATATGTGGATATTTGGCTGTGTGTTTCCATGTGCATGAATGTGTACTTGTGAGTGAGCTTGTGTAGACATAGATGTCCATGTGTGCACAGATATGTGCACACACATGTGAGCATGAACTCCAGGCTCCATTTCATCTCCACCGTATTGACAACTGCAGAATCCTCTCTGTAGAGACCGGGGGTTCAGTGTAATAGCGTTGGCACCAGGCTAGTGGGCGTTCCATGAAAGATGTACAAACGCCATGAATGAATACATCAGAATTTCTCTAGGTTCTTGCTGTTTTGTCAATCTGCTGGGTTTGACCTTCCTTTCTGACTGAGTCTGCCGGTAGTGCACTTGGGAGGCCTAGAGGGGACCAGCCCTTATTCTCTGCCGTTTCACACCCCAGCCTGCCCCAGTCTGTCGAGCTAGCTCTTCAATGAGCTCATTTTGCGGCTGATTTCACACAGTGCTCCGTATTCCATGATCCCTCACCACCCACCTGGGCAGACTGTTAAAAAAAAACAAATTACTATGTATAATTCAGGGTGTGACCACTTCCCTGGAATTGCTCAAGAACTGAGGCCCCAGCATCAGGAGGTGTTTTTTAATGCTCACATCCCTGGTGATGTGAATCTTGTCTAGAGCTCACCCCTCGGCCAAGGAACTTCCATGACCTGCTCATCCGCTGCCGTGCAGTGTGGGCCAAGTGCAGGTTCTGTGTCCCCAGAGCATGGGCCCTGGCCAGCTGGACCTAGATGTTCATCTTTTAGAGATTATGTTATTGGTATGAGGAATCCCTGCCCAAAGCACTGCAGCCAATGCATGTTCCTGGGCTCACGTGATGAGGACAAAGACTCCATCCGTGGATTCTAACATGCATCTGATGACCACGTGGTGGTCACAGGCAACATGGGTGATGCAACTTCTCAGACCCAGCTCAAAGGAGTAGACAGTCACAAAGTTCATGTGCACCCTTAGGAGCTCCCTGTAGGTTTTTTGGCTCCTTCTTGTTCAGTTCTCATCACCTTGACAAACTGCATCCTATGGGAAGTAGCAGGACATGAAAGAGGAAGAAGAGAAGTTAGCCCCAGCTTGGGAGGCATGATGACATCATCCTCAACTAAACGCAGCCCAGTGAATATTAAGCAGTGACCCATCAGGTTAGACAGTGCTTCCTTGGGAGGGATGAGTGGAGAGGACACAGACTTCAGAAGGATTCCTTCTGGGGCCTTGAGAGGAGCAAGGAGCAGGAGGAGCATCTTCCTCTCTGCAACCTGGAGAATAGAGAAAGGGGGGCTCCCTCGTAGCAATGCCTCTCCTCACAGCCACCCACATCTCACGGCCCCCCAACAGCAGCTGCAAGGAAAACCCAAGCAGCTTTGCCCTGGGAATGGCCTCCGTGGTGCTCAGGTCCCCTTCCTCATCCCCTTCCTCCAGTGACACCAGATCCTGAGACAAGGAGACCCAGATGACTCTGACCTCTTCTCCTACTTGGCCAGGTGCCCTGAGCCATCTCCACAGACCCGGCCTCGAATGGGCCACACTGGCTTATAGAGACCCCTCACCCACCCCTGTCCCAGTGCTGGGGCATCAGGGGAAGCGCTTGAGCTATTGTCACAGTGCTAGGATTGGTCCTGTCTTCCTAGGGATGGCAAATCAGAGGGATTTCCCCGCTGCCACACCGTATTAGCTAGGCTTGAATAATGCATGTTTCCCTACTAATGCCCTCTCTTTGATAATGGGTCCACGTTAGTGTTCATTGGAAATTTTCCTGCTGGATACACACGGAGAGAAACGCACATTTATAAAAAGGATTTGAATGCATGTGGGGAGGCTGTGTCTGTGGTAATAACTGAATTTCATCAGGCATTCAGCATAGACAGTGGCTTACCAGGGGACAGACCTTGGGTGACTTAGCCGGAGTGGGGGACTGGGAGCCGCTCCCTTGCACATCTGATGGCTGTGGCTTTGGTTTGGGGATTGCCATGTTACCTCACGTCCAGAGCAAATACCTGAACTTCAGGGCCTGAGCTCAGGAGGGGGCAGATCCTGGACAAGATTGACAATGCCCCTGGCATTGCTTTGGGGCAGAGCATAAGGAAAGAAGCTGGGGCTCAGCCAAGAACAGAGCTACTTCCCGGCTGTGTGACCTACAGCAAGGCACCCAAACCACTTTGAACCTCTATTCTATCATCTACCAAGTAGGTGTAATGACTACCGGTCAAGGTCGTTGAAAGTATATGGACCAAATGAAATGAGTATTGGGTGCCAGGAAGCTCTGTTCTAGGAAGTGAGGATACAGCAATGAATAAAAATCCCTACCTTCAGGGAGCTTACATTGCAATGTGGGTGACAAAAATAACTAAACAAATGATATCGTATATGAGAAAGTTGTGGGGATAAAGTAGGGAAGCGGGTAGGGAGAGCTGGGTTTGGAGGTGTGGTTTTAATGGAGTGGTCAGAGAAGGCCTCAGTGAGGAAGTGATGTCTGCACAAACACCTCTAGGGAAGAGGGAGCGAGTGGTGCAGCTATCTGGGGGGAAAGCATGCTGGGGAGCTGGCAGACTGAGGCAGAAGCATGCCTGGCATATTGCAGGCACATCGGGGGACCCACGAGGCTGGAGAGGAGTGATCGAGGTTGAAGATAGGGTCAGGGAGGTCTTGGGGAGAGCAGATTGGTCCCTGCAGGCCATTTTAAAGACTTTGGCTTTTACTCTAGGAGAGACGGGTTGCCACCGAAGAGTCTTGAGCAGAGCTGTAATGTGGATTGACTTACGTTTTAACAGGATTCCTCTGGCTCTGGTGCTGAGAACAGACTCTATGTGGGCAAGGGTGGAAGATGGGAGACCATGGCAACGGGGGGAGAGGTGTCGGCGACTTGGACCAGGGTGACAGACGTGGAAGTTGTGAGAAGTGGTGGCAGCTGGGATATATTTGGAAGGATTTGCTGATGGATCGTGTGTGGGTGTGAGACAGAGGAGTCAAGGATGCTGAGTTAAGGGAAGAACTCATAAAGCACCCAAGGCCTGGCACATACGAAGTGCCTGGTCACAGCTGCTGTCACCACTGCTGGGCATCAGTCTGAGCAGGGCTAAGTTGGCAGGCGGAGGCTGGCTGGAGGATGGCACGGGGATTTGGGATTGGACAGATGCACCAAAGCGTATAACCAGAGACTGGATGAAGCCCTCGGAGACCAGGAGAATGCCTTGGGGAGCAGAGGTAGTCAGACCACAGGAGGGTGATGGGTAAAAGGGATGGCCTTTGGAATTGTGGTGTTCCAGCTCTGGCACCCTTTAGTACTATTTGGCAAAGTTGTGGTGAGCTGAGGAATGGACTTAGTGACAGGGTCAAAGCCAGATTTAATCCATCAGACACCCACCTGAGCCAGATACCATCCCCCAGTGACCTCCAGGACTCAGCGTCCCCTGCCTGCATAGGTCAGCTGATGTAGGCTGGGCTCAGCGAGGCTGACCCCGCCCCACCTGTCTCTCATCCTCCTGGGATCAGCCATGTGTCTCGCAATGATGGCAGGGATGCAAGAGGGCATGCCTAATCTGGGAGGTGCTTCTCAAGCCTTTGGACATGTCAAATTTCCAATGGCCAAAGCAAATCATATGCCTGAACCTAAAGTCAAGGGATGGTAAAATACAATCCACTTCTGCAATGGGAGGAACTACAAAATCACATTGCAGAGGGTGCAGTGGTGACGATTTGGACCCATAGTCCAATCTACCACACCCTGTCGGGGCTGGCTCAGAAAGCGAGGCGGAACGTGCAGGAGAGCAGAGAGCGGAGGGTGGGCTGCAAGACTTCACGTACAAATGCCCATGAACAGTGTGCTGGGGAACAGATGGAACTCAGTAGTTCTAGTGAAATCTGGAACATCTGCGAGAGGCCACTGGGGGACTCCCAGAGCCCCTCAACACCCAGCAGGTGGGAGACCACCTTTCCTGCACCCTGCCACATTTGAACGCTGCTCTTGGTACGTCCCAGCCCTGAGGAGTTTCTGCCATGGAACGTCCCAGGCCACAAGAGCGATCATTCTAGAGGGAGCCCTACCCCTGGTCACAGACAACAACTTAAACTGTTTTTCTTCTTGTCTCCTCTCCAGTCAAGAAGCAAATTGAGTTGAAATCTCGAGGTGTGAAGCTGATGCCCAGCAAAGACAACAGCCAGAAGACATCTGTGTGTAAGTGTCCGCCCGGGGCCCGCCTGCCGGGCCTCTTGTTCAAGGTCAGACACGCGTGGTGCTGTGACCGCGGGGAAGCCGATGATGCTGGGATGACTTCCCTTCGGCCCTGCTTCGCTCCCTCCCGGGCTCTGTGCATGGACACACTGACCCTGTGCCTCGAGCAGCCCCGGGCTTGTCTTTTGCCTCCTCGTCCTCCTCCCATTTCCCTCCTTATCCTCTTCCTCCCTCACTTCCCATTCGAACTGCAGTCCAGGGAGCCATTACTGCTACATTTCTCTCTCTTTATTTTTCCTTTTGAATCACTTCCACCTGCTAAGACAGTCCTTCTGGCTCCTCTTTCAGGAGTCAATAATCTCAGGCAGGGATCTTGGGGGCTGCAGGGCTCTAATTCCAGCTCCCAAGTCCAGATTGGGAACAGGGCAGGGGGGAATGCCCAGTAACCACCTCCGAGCATCCTTGGACCTGGCTGCGCAGGGAGAGGACTGGGGGCTGTTCTCGGGCCAGTCGGGGAGGTGCTGCAGCTTCTGCTTAGGCACGGGGAGGATGATGACTTTGAGAACATGTTCCCGCTCCAATGTTTGGAAGATTAAAAGAGGCCCAGTTCTGGGGAGCAGTCTGGAATGTCACCCCCAGAAATACCTGATCAGAGCCTGTGCTAAGGGGCTTTGGCACTAGAGCACAAGAAGGGTTGGAGAAGATTCTGGGTACCTGAGAAAGCTAGGCTCGAAAGCACAGGAGTTTTTTCCAGAATCCCTCCATTTTCTTTCTGGGGGAGCGTGGGGAGCTTTCCTTGGTCCCCCAAACAATGGATCAACCTTCTGGTTTCCCCTCTCCTTCCCTCCCTTCGTTCCCCCCACCAAAGGCCTTCTCCCCCTCCAAGCCACCTCCTCCTCCTTTCCCCTCCATCCCCCTTCCCACCCTCCCTGCCTCCCTGCTTCCCCTCCACTCTTCCTGGGCCTCACTGGCTCCTGCCACCCTTCTGGCCCCCTCCTTCCATCTTGGTCCCACTCGCTCACTGGAAGTCTGTATTGAAGACAGGCAGGCAAGAGCGGCATCGTGGTTCCAGGCTCTGTGCTGATGTGTGTGGCTGGGAGTAGGTTGGAGCAGGGTCAGTTTGTTCCGTGGCCCTGACTGAGTGGAACCCGGGTGTGGGGATTTTCTTTGGTCTTTCAAGCCCTCTGAGTGGAGACAGGTGCCACCAGTGGCTGGGTTCAGCTGGGGACCAGCGCCTCTGATCACCCCTTGCCCTGAGGGGGCTCCATGCAGGGCCCTGCTTTGGTGATTGCCTAGGGGCTCAGGGAGGGAGCAGGGCACTAGAAGAGCCTGGAGTGGGCCAGGTATCTGTAGCAAGGACTCAGCTGTGGGCCTGGCCCCTGGGCTCCTCCCTCTGTAGTCACAGGAGAGCACGTGAACTGGTTTGATTTCAGAGCTTGCCCCGGAGCCACAGGCAAACTTAAGGAAATGGCCTTGGTTTGGGAGACCAAGTGTATATCCCAATTGTGTCTCAGGTAGCCGTGTTCCCCCAGAGGCCAATGTCTCAGTGTCTGTCCACATCTGTAGAAAGGCGATGCACATCCCTGCCCTGCCTTCTTCCCAAGGGCCCTGTTGGGTCTAAGATGGCCTTCCTGACTGAGGACTTCAGGAGGTCCATAAACTAGCTGAACAATGACATGTGACGTTGTGAGTGCATTTTCCTGGAGAGAGGGTCCATGGTTTTCATTAGCTACTCAGAGACGCCCAGAACTCTCTCAGAAAGATGAAGAAATCCTGTTCTAATGAAATAATGCAAACATTCTTCGCAAAAAGTATATACCTCTCTGCCAAGAAGATATCAATCTCCATTCTAAGAGTTCCTCTGAAGAAGATGGGTGTGTGATTCAAGCTGCCTCAGAGGCTGGTAGCCAAATGTGTGCAAGTGTCTGGCCCTTTGTGTTCGCTCAGATCCCCTGTGGACAGCTGTCCTGAGCTTTAGGGGAGGAGTGGACCCGGCTTTCTGCCTTTACTAGGCAGTCCATGGGTACATGGACCCCTGGCCATCGGTTCTGGCCACCCACCTGTCTGTGTCACCCTGCACTTTGGGTAGAAGGCATTGCCTTTCTGGGCATGTTGCAGCTTCTTCTCACCATAGTGGCCCTCCCAAGACAGGTAAGGATTACCCTTCATCTTGTGCCTCACATACAAGCAGCTGGTTTTGAATAGACAGTGAAGGCTGGAATTACAGAAAGAAAGGGGGAACGCCTCTTGCTTCCATAATTCAGACAGTAAACTGTTTGCTGAGATTGAAATTTGCTTGTTTCCTGGGGAACCTTGAAGGTCCTCCTGGGACTGCCGTCGCCTGCTCAGTGCTCCCTGGAAGAGGGCCCTGGGCCAGGTGCGAGCTGCGTCACTGCTGGGTTTGTGACTTCCTAGATGGTGCATGATCCTCCTTGGGGGCTGGCTGATTCGAGGGGAGGCAGTGGGGTCTGCTCTGTCTATCAGGGGCTGTGGCTCACGGGGTGGGCTTTGGCATGGTCTCTCCTCTCTGGTCCAACCCCATCGTCATTGGGCAGCCTTCTGCTCTGTCCGCTTCCTGGGTGGTGTCACTACTGAATGAGAGGGCAAGAGAAGGGGGCAGGAAACTGCTATATGTTATTCATGTGCTACAGGGGGCTATGTGGTTCCCGTGTGGTGGTTGGCAGGGGCTTTGGGATGGGTGTGGTCCATGGGCAGTGTTGCGCAGGGAGGACCTAAAAAGAAGGCGGGTCCTTAGCTGGGCAGTCCGCAGTAGGGACAGATCTCCATGAGGCTGTACGGGGGGACTGGCTCACCAACAGGTAAACCAGCAAGTACAGCTCAGGATTCCTCGCTCCTTTTCCCGGGAGGAAACCGTATTGGGTTATCGTCTTCCTTCCATTACTTGCAAACCATGAGACTTCAAGGAGGCAGGAGCTTGCTCTACTTTGGGGGTGGTGCTCCATCTAACTATCCCTGCCTAAAGGTGTCTGGACTGGTGGGAATGGTGACTGTGTTAAGTTTAGGATGTGAAAGCTTTGGAGGGAGAGGCTTGGCAAGGAAGGGGATGGGGGGAGTAGGGGACAAGTCTCCAGTTGGGTGACTGGTTTTAACCTGGCGGTGTGGAATGCTGGAGAAAGGGAGCTACCCAGAAGGCCTTGCATTCACTGCAGACAACCAAGGGGATACCTGGTGTCTGGCTTGAGAATGGAGTCTGTCAAATCCCCAGGTTCCGTGTCCAGCCATACCCCGGGCTACCTGGAGGTTTGAACACGGTCTACACCTGTGTACAGGTGTACAACTGTCTACAACTGTAGCAATGAGCTTCAGACTCAATGAGTCTAAAACGGGGCTCCCTGCCTTCCCTCCCTCCATCACACCCCCTGCATCCTCAGGGCTACCCAGCCCTGGAAACACCTGCTTCCTGCCCTCATGCCCTGATCCTCCACGAGCCCCAGGGATTCCTCCTTTGCCACGTCCTTCCCACTGTCTCATGCCTGTCCCCATTACCAGGCTCTTGTTGTCCTCAACCTGGACAGTCACAAAACTTCCTGGCTCATCTCACAGTAACCAGCCTACCCCTGGGCAATGGGGTCTCACCACACCCTTCTCCCCCTCAGAACTCTGCAGGGGCTCCCAGGGGTTTTCAGGGTCCCACTGGAAACTTTTCCAAGTCTGATCCCTAGAATCTCACTTTCTACTCTCCCTCATCACCCTTCATCCTCCTTCCTACACAGGGTGACCCCTAGTTCTGTTTGCATGTCTCCACTTCACTCCTCACCCCTGTCTGCCTTCGTCATCTCTGTCGCCATGTGTCCAAAGCCTACTACCTCGGAAGGTCCATAGTAAATGCCACCTCCTTCAGGCAGCCGTTCAAACTTCTCCCAGCACTGTGAGACTGGTCTTCGTCTGAACATCCCTGAAGGTGCATCTTTCACCCCTCCCCATGTGGTTCCACAGTTTATTTCCATGTTTCACATCTTCACTCAACTGGAGGCTCCTTGAGGACAGTGGACACATTTGACTATCCTTGGCATTTCTCATGGGATCCAAATAAAGCCTCGTACACAGTAGGTGCTCAATGAATGCTTGTCTACCTATGTGAGGGAGTGGGCATGTGGGTCACGGAGCACTTTGCTCACATCATGGGGCATTGAGGGGAACAGGAGGGAAACGTGCAAACTTAGGGAATGTTGTTCCAGGTGCCCTGTCATCCCTCCTCTAGAGGTCGCTGTTGGGATCGTGGGACTGGGGAGTCCTTGAATGGAACTGCTGTGACCAGGCTATCTGCTTGGCCCCAGCTCCTGGTCATCCTCAAAGCCAGGAACCCAGAGGTGTGAGGGGTTCCAGCCTCACCAATACGCACATCCCGTGAACAATGAACAGGCAGGGGCCAGAGTGTTGCCCACCCTGTCCACCATGTGTATATCCGCCGCCCCCTGACCAAGCTTCCCCTCTAGCCGAGACAACTGTGCATATGGTTTTTGTAAACAGGACTTTGGTGTTGGCAAGTGTCAGAGCATCATGCCACCTTCCAGAACCATCACAGGTGCCATGTCTACTCAGTGCCCTTGGCTGGTGGCATTGGGCGGGGCGGGGGGCGGTCTGGTTACTGCTTACTCTGGCTTGAGAAGTGTCTGGTGGGAAGAGGTATCTCAGAAGAAATGTCCATGTTTGAGCTAAAGTCCCTGCTTTGAACTTCAGACTGCAGCTTTCTCTTACATTCTTTACCGTTTCTGATCATGCATCCACCTTTTATTTAACTTTCTTTGAGTCATTTTTCCATTTGGGGCTGAGGTGGGGGGCTCGTCTCATCTAGACTCTCCACCCCGAGATCTGCAGCCCAGGGTAGGGAAGTCACCAGGGGCTGTGGACAGGCCACCTCTGGCCGCTGGTGTGGGATGAGGGACCTGGGTGGCTGTTGGGGTGGAGGCCAATCTCTGAACCCACACGCTCGGAATGACTTTGCTCGCAAAGGGATTTGTCAATAGCAGCTGCTCACCCTGCACACTCAGGAAACCCCAGGCCGGAAGACCCCAGCCACCCCATACAGACCCAGCAAAGCAGGGCATCATTCTGTGTCTGCCTCCACCTCTCACCCTGAGACATTGCCGCTGTGGCCTTCCTGTGACTCTCCATCTCTGTATGTGCTGTTCTTTTGCCTTGTAGTAACTCAGGTTGGTGTATCCCAAGGACATAGCATGTGTCCAGATCCTGGCATACCCGAAAGGGGCAAAAGACTAGGCTCGGATTTCAGGTAAGATCTACTTGGGAACTTGCTGACTGCAAGAAGGTGGGGTGGCCTGACTCGGGGTGGGGGAGACAGAGGCTGGCCTGGCTGGAGGTAGAAATGGAGAGAACCGGCTGGATACAGGAACAGATGCTTTCTGGAGAAGAGCTGTGGCCTTTGACAGTCTCTCCCGGCCCGGTCCTTAAAACAGTGCCCAGGCCTTATGGGGGGACCGTAGGCTGCCAGTGTTACAGCAAACCTTCATACCCAGGAAACAAAGGCTGCCATCTCAGTAATGACACGCCAGCAGGCAGCTCAACCTGTGATAATCTAGGAGACCCTGGGGCCGAGAGATGGGATGTTCTGCAAACTTTCTAACTATCCAGGCATTTTCCCATAATCCTCCATTTTCATTAAAGTTTACGGGTGTCATCCACCCACTCTTAGCTGCCCAAACTGATGCTTATCTCCAAGGATTGCTGCTTTGCTCACAAAGTCACCTTTTAACTCAATCCTAAAACCATTAAATTGTCCAAAAAAAAAAAAGATGGAGAGCAGATGTCTCTTCCAATGGAGATTTTAAGTTGATTAAACAGTAGAGCAGAGATTAAGGGTCAGAAAGAGAAATAATGTTCCCTGTGGCACTTTGTGGAACCAGGCAGAACTCAGGGTGGGGCATGGCAGGCCCGGGGATTGAGCTCACAGACACACCTTGTCTCCCAGGTTAGGATCCAGTGTCCAGTTTACCTGCAACGAGGGCTATGACCTGCAAGGGTCCAAGCGGATCACCTGTATGAAAGTGAGCGACATGTTTGCCGCCTGGAGCGACCACAGGCCGGTCTGCCGAGGTGAGGGTGCCCGGGGAAGGGAGGCCGGACAGAAACAGGGCCAGGTGTGGAGGATGAAGCCCAGTTCCCAGCATCTGAGGCCCAGGCTGTCACCCTTGCCCCCTGTGTTTATTTACTAATTAACATACTTATTTAGCACTTTCTTGGTATCAAGGCCTGTACTAGGATCAGGTGATACAGAGGTAGGGAAGATAAATATGGTCCTTGCCCACCTTACAGTCCGATGGGGAAGTCACATATAATAAAACAGGTTGCTAGCTCATTGAACAGATATTACAACCACACCTAACTAGGAAAGGAAGCCACCTTGAACCCCTCCATTATAACGCATACACATCCTGGAACTTCTATCCCAATGCCCTTGTATCTTTCCCCACACTCTGCAGTAAAGAGACCTGTCACTCCTGGAAGAGTGTTCTTAGCTATGTGGAAGTGACATGAGCCATTGAGATCAAAAGGCTTCTCTGTGGGATTCCTTTAACTCTACACCTGGGCATCTCGTGTTCAAGGGCTCTGCCACCCACATTCCCAGGCATCACATAAGCCAAGGTTGGGCTGGCCTATCCCCTGGTCCCCAAATAATCTTAAAATATCAGACCTGAAAGTATTTCTGCAGTGGAGAAATGAGCCCCTGACGTCATTTCTCAGGGCACCAGCAAAGAGAACCCCTGAGCACTAGGCAGCTCGATGGCCTTTAAAAGTGCTCTTCTAAGTGCCCTTTCGGAAGAGAAGGTATGTTTCCCACTATAAAGCTACATTCTGGATCCTTCTAAAGAGTCTCTGCCTCCCTCTAGGCATACGCATCAAGATGAAATTCAGGCAGAGTAAGAGGGGTCCAAGAAAAATAACTGAGATCATTTTTCTACTAAGGAAGGGACAAAGTTGGAGCTGAAACCCACTCCCTTTTTAAAAATGAGTCGATAAGTAATCTAGAAGAGTGTCATGAAAACATCTTTCAAATTAGCTTTAGATTTATTCATCTTCACTCAACTTTAAAGTGGCCGTACTCCACAATTTATAATATACTTTGCATTCCACTGATTTTAACTCCATTCTTTCAGGAATTTTACATAGCTACTATTTTTTTAAAAAAAAATGAAAAAACAATAAAAGTATTCTTGTTATAACTCAGCAATTGGGCAAATCACCTATTTTCCCTAAGCCTTTCTTATCTATCAAAACAGAGATGATAGTACCCACTCGACCCTTCTTACATTTAATGTGAACGTCAAATGGAGTTGTGGCTGTGTAAACAGTTTATGAATTGGGAGATGCTAGAAGGAAAAAATCAAATATCCTTGTGCTAGTAGAATATGAGCTAGATAGGGCAAGGATTTCTGTTTTGTTCACCTCCTAAAATAGGGCCTGATACATAATAGGTGCTCAATAAAATGTGTTGCATGGTCAATAGAATAATGGAATAATTAAACAGTATACCACTCCAATTACAGGGAACCAAGACACCAGCTGTGGAGAGAGGCATAGAATTATCAAGTTTGAGGACCTCTGCCAATCTGTTGTTTCAAAATTCCTTTTGAGAATCCAGACTAACAATGCCTTTAGGCAGTGGTGGGATCTGATCTGTCCCCAAGACCTTTTCACTAGAGGAAGATTGTTCTTTTAGTAATGATGGTTGTTTACATGAACATGCCAAGGGTGGGGAAAGGCTGGTGTTTCCACCTTAAGGAAGTTTGTAGTCAAATAATATGCTCATCTTTTTCTCCAGTGATTTGGACCCCCCAGGACTCTGAATTCTCTGCTCCATTTTCACTAAGCACTGGGCTAAGTTTTTCACGTCGTTTCATTCCATCCTCCGCCACTGTGAAACAGGGGGAAATTATGGTTCAAATCCAACCATCATCACTTGTTAGCTGGGCGTCCTTGGGACAGTTTCTTCACCTCTCTGAATCTCCTTTGTTCCTGCTAAAAGGTGGTAATAGCAGAACATGATTTCGTGGCATTCCTTTGAGGAGCAGTCGAGGCAGCGCTTGTTTAGAAGCGATGCTAGTGGCTCTACCAGGATTAGGTGCATACGTGTTGAGTTTAACCTGCTTGGGCACTGTCCATAAACAGCTTCCTCAAGCCCTGGCGCAAACCTCAGCCTCTAGGGGGACTGTCGGTCCTTTCCGTGATGCCTGTTTCTTCGCTTTCTTGTCCAATCCTATTGCAGTCACACAATTCGGAAGTCACGTAGACTTTGATCCAGACCACAACTGTGACACCTATTAGCCTGCTGGCCCTGGCTGGGTTCCTTCATCTTCTGTAGCCACAGGGCCCTCATTTGTGAACAGGGAAAACAAAACCTCCGCTGCCTGGTGATTGTGAAATTTAGACAAGTCATTTTATAGAAAGTGACCAGTGCTGACAGGGGTGGAGAGTGGGTTCTCGGCACAGGTGAACCTTCCTGCCTTCGTCTCCCTCTTTTTCTCCTCTCCCGTAGGCCATCGTGAGGGAGACAGAGAGACAGCTATCTCCTGGGTTTGGGCTTGGACAGTCTGTCCTGGGCTTCCTAGAGGCCAAGAGCTGAGACAGATATTAGATTCAAGCGTCCTTTATTTTGGCAGTTTTTAAGGTTTCTCTTTTAAAATCTTTTGTTCTTAATTCATTGCAATTACCATTGTAATTGTGATTTTTTAGGAGCGTTTAGGTGAACTGCACCTTAAAAATAAAAAGGGGACAAAACTCTTTCAATTCCAAGAAGTTCCACTAAGAAGCAGGTTGCCAAAAGATCCCATTCTAAAAACACAATGGTATTATTTTTCTCTCTAATGAATTCAAAATATGATTTGATTTGAAATATTCATTTTTCCACACAATTAATTCTACTAAAACACGGGGACTGGCAAATAATAGGTTCTCAACAAATGTTTGGGGACCACCTGAATGAATCAGTGATTGAAATGAACGAACAATATGGAACTGCGCCCTCGTTTTGGAATTTGAAATTAGGTATTCACTGGCCTTTCTTTTCTTTTCCTCCCGCCAGCAGAAATGAGCTTCTAATCTGACTCCTAGAAAATTTTTATTATACAATGGAGATTGAGGGCAACATGAAACATTGTTAAACTAATTCTGTTCAGCCCCAGGTATAGGCAGGGTGATATAATATGGGGCTTATCAGACTTATTTTACATATGGAGCCCCATATTTTAAAATGAATTTTTACAGAACCTCAATAAATAAATACAAGTGGAGTGTCTCTGATTACAGTAGGGGCAGGGGATTTGGAGTCACTCACTCCCTCACCCACCTCAGCAACCTCTAAGCCCTGGTACCCCTGGGGCTCCGGGGAACACTGTTTGTAAACCACTGGTATAATGAAGAGAGCCAAATTAACAACCAGGAGACCTGATTTCTTGTGGCCACAGGTTGGTGTTGATGGAGAATAGGGATTAATTATCAGCCCCAGATGAGATTTTTATAGTTGCTGATTCACAAAGCAAATAATTAACAGAAAACCATATGTTTCCTTTGTGACTAAATCCACTTTATCTATATGTCTGTGTCTATATCCATACAGACACACACACACGTACACATATATAGACTAAAAGCCTTTGTAGTAGATAGAGTGCCTAGAAGGCCAGGTTTGGGACTCAGAGACCTAAGCTAAAGTTCTAGCTTTGCTGTCAACAAGCCATATGGCACAGGGAGAGTCACTGAAATGTGCTGTGTCGTTTTCTTCATCTGTAAAATGGGAGGGAACCAGGGGACATGTGGCACAAACCGGCTGAATTAAATGCCATCATTACAGGTGGCTGTCTTCTTGGTGGCCTTCACTGCATCAGCTTCCCGGGCCTGCCGCTTAAACACGATTGTCCAGAGTTCTGTTTCCATCTCCCCTCTCTCCTTCTCCTTCCTCTCTCTCTTCTCCTCTCCTCTCCTGTCTCCTGTCTGCTCTCTTCTCCTCTCCACTTACTCTCCCTGGATGATGCGCTCTGACTGTCCTAGAACACATGCCCCCTTGCTACGGCCCTGAGAGTGTCCCCAAGTCCCTTACCTATATGGGATCATGATAAAGCTCCCACTTATTAAACTATTTATACTCTTATAAAGCATTGCACCAGGCGTTTTTCATAATTTCTTTATGAGGAAAGTGGCAATAGCCATATTTTATGTTTAGCTGAAGCTTAGAGTGGTCAGCGAACTTGCCCAAGGCTGAGTTTCAAACCATGACTATGAAGGCTGAATCCTGCTTCTCCTTGAAAATTGAGGCTGGACATCTTACGGGGTTGATGTATTGGATGGAACCATGCAGAACTGCTTCCCCTCCACTCCCCACTTACTTTAATATAATTTTAAACTTATAGAAAAGTTGCAGTTAATGTGCAAAGAATTTCCATATACCCTTTACCCAGATTTAAACAGCTACTTTTTAGGAATTAATGGAGAAGAAGGAAGCTGAGGAGAGTTGGGCAGAGGTAGGAGAAAAGCCCGGAGGCAACAATGAAGCCAAAGAATATGAGTCTCACACCAGAGGAGGGTCGTTAGGGTTGGGTACTCCGGAGAGGTCGTGTCTGGTAACAACTGAAATGCAACCATTAAAGTTACGTGGTTCCACCAAGCATCAAACGTTTGACGTTGTCTCTGCAAGGAGCTGGCCCGGGAACTGAAGGAAGACCAGAGAAAGGACTGACTTGGGCTGAAGCTTGCATTATGACAGCAAACCATGACTCTGTGGTGATACCACGGTTCTCCTGGCAGCCCCCAGTCCCCAGGATTAGGAATAGAAGAGGTGGCTGGTAGGGTTGACCAGAGGCAGGCATTTCACCAAGCAGATATTAGGGTGTAGAGGCAGCTAAAGGTATGGGGGAGTCATCTGGAGGTCCAGACTTGGTAGTGAAAGAAGAGAGATCAGGAGGGGATAGATAGAGGAGAAGAGATATGGGAGCCAGAGAGCTGGAAGGGACAACAGGTGCATTGAGACCAAAGTCACTCTGCTGGGAGCATGGGCAGTGGAGGAAGAAATGGGATGATTGGGTTTAAGATCTGAGAGTTGGACTTTCTGGGTTCCCAGGACAGCAGGGCACTGGGTGTGGCCATGGGCATGGTTGATCTTGGGACAGAAGGAGGGCAGGGTGCCTGATCTCATGAGAAGGGGTTGGCCTCCAAGAGAAGGGAATATCCCTGTGTTGGAACAGAAGGAAAGAAAATGAGCACATACACGGACAGTATTGTACTTTCAGGGAGTGGGAGAAAGGATGTGCCTGCCACATGGCTTCTGTTTCCTCCATAAAGAGTGAGGCAAGGTCATCAGCTGAGAGTGAGGGGAGATGAGGGGAAGGGCAAGAGGTTAGGGTGGCATATAGAAGGCATGAAAAGGTCTTTGAGCAAAATGAGACCATGAGCTAATACCGCTAAATGACAGGGTCACTGGGCAGTAGGTAGGATTTTTTTGAGGTGGGTCATCATGACTTTATAATGACATCAATCTTTCTACTCATATGATTTTTTTTTTCCAGCAAAGCTCAACCACATGGGGGCAGGTAGGGAGGATGTGGGTGGAGGGGTTCATCCACAATTGATGTCTTCCAGGCAACTGATTAAAGGAAAAAGAAGCAAGGGACTTGGGAGGATTTGCAAGAAAATGTTCATAATGGTGGACCATGGGATCTAAGTTGGGTAAGGACAGAAGACAAGACAGGAGGGGGCTGATGGGTAGAAAGAAGATGTTGATGTCAACAGAGTGGAGGTCTCGTTAGGGCAAGATGAATTCTTTGGGGGCGTTCAACAAACATTTGTGGAAAGAAATACTGAAAAGTGGGAGCAATATCTCCACTGCAGAGGCCACAGAGGAGGCAGTGGCTTGGGGAGGGGGAGATGGGCTTCAATCAAGGCAGTAGTGGGAGTGGGAGGTTCTGAAAGATGTTGCAGCTACAAGCAGAGGTTTGCTTGCCTTAGAATCGGTGGTGGGAGGTGGTTCCAGAGGACTGTGGAAAGGGCAGGGAGGGAGGTCAGGAGGAAGAGAAGCTAGGGAGGGCAGCATGGAACAGGGCAGGAATAAGATGTGGGGAGAAGATAGGCAACCAGAGGCACCTGCATCTGGAGCAGTTCCCTTCTTTGGTGCCAAGTTGTTTCAGTGCCAGAACTGGCTGTGGGTCCAGGTGGTGTCTCCTCATGGTCCCCTGGGACACTGTCCCCCATTATATGGTGTAGTGACATCCAGACCAAACTCAGCATGGAAGGTCTCCAAGAAGTCTTTCCTGAAAGCTAGCCAGAAGAGCGTTTGATGGGAAAAGGCAAATAGAGAAACATAACAATATGTTCGTGCATTTATTGAGACGTCTGAGCACCTACAATTTTGCCAGCCCATCTGGGTCACTGCAATGAGCTTTCCATCTGTTGGTGGGCTCCCAGGAACTGGCTGCTCAGGGGAATTCTCTCTGTCCACAGCACCCCTGGCCTTGCCCAGACAGCAGAGGAAAAGTGTAGCTATTTCTCCATTCCGAACCTAGTTTAAGGTGTTCCACGCTAACTATCCGCAGATTGTAATACTTTAGTTAAACCCCTCTAAGCCCTTTAAGTGGTAAATGCCTTTTTGGTCTGTTCTCTCTCATTACCTTCAGCTTGTTTCAACAGACTGCAAATACCATCTAATTCTGGGAAACAAGTGCAAGATAAATTGAGTCTGAAACTGAGGGCTTTTGGCAGCAAAGTCTGACTTTCCAGCAGTGTAGTAAGATGGTGCTGGTAAAGATTTGTAAGCATCCTCTGCAGGCCTAGAGTTCCGAATCCACAGGGCCTCTTTGCAAAGGTGGGATGGGATCAGGGTTTGGATTTTGATTATCTTATTCTAATTTGTTTAGTAATGTCAATCCCAAATGTGGTTGGGGGAAAGAATCTATGTCAAGAAACTTCAGGAAAGGTAGAAAAAAGAGCCTTAGCCTTGAGAGAAATCTTTGGCAGAGAGAAACAGAATGGACATGGCATTGGGAATCTGCTGGTCCCAGATCCCAAAGGTTGAATATTGGCACTGCCCCAGGTCCTGGGCTGAACCTTCACATCCATCATCTCATGTAATTTCATCCTCACCGTGTCTCAGTGAGGTGGAATCACTCACCTTTGACAGACGAAGCAGCAGATTGGAGAGGTTTTCTAACGTATCCAGGCTTAAACAACCTGCAAATAGATGTAGGTCCAGAAGGCTAAGTGGGTAAACCCCAAAGCCTGACCTGGCCTCCGCCGTGCCATAGTGCCTTAGGGCCTGGTTATCATTGGGCACGATCTGTGGATCTCAGTGTTTCTCGGCACAGGATTAAAGGAGCAATCAGATACACAGGAGGGAGTGGAGGTGGGGATTCCCTCAGGGATTTGCTCAAACTCAATTTAACTGATATTTGAGCTCAAGACGAGAGAAAAGCAGGATGGGGCGAGGCATCGGAAGGAACTTCTTCACAGCGGGTGTGGAGCGAGCAGAGAAGAGGAAGCAGTTCTGACCCAAAATCCCCTTGCAAATAACCCTCGGACAACACCTGCCCTGCTTGGTTGAAACTTTTTTCACATCTCTTTCTTCCACTTGCCATGGCCCGTCGGAGAGAGGCGGTTGTGTCAGACACCTTCCTTTCTCCACAGTCTGCCTGGCCCATAGCAGGCGCTCAATAAATGTCGCAACGAATGAGCACAGGAACGAGTGCATGAAACAAGAAGAGATTCCTGATGTCCAGGAGCTGCAGAACCTGCTTCTCTGTCCCTCCTGGGAAGGGTGTCCTGGGAAAGGTTTATCACAGCCCTGCCCACACGTGGAGAGGAGTTCTAGGATACTTGGCCCCATCGGAGGAAACCAGATTTGACACCACTTTCATTTTATATAGTTAGGCTTGTGGCGTTTGCTCACTATTTCTTTTCTGTTAGGCACTTTGCCTACAATTGGGATAAATTGCCACACGGGCAGCCAGAGAATAGGCTCATAGAACCCTTTATTAAAATAGCTGAGCACTAACATTAAAGAATGAAGTAGCTAGAACTAAAGCACGTTTTTAAAGAAAGCAAACAGCTAGGTACAATGTAGTACCTTAACTGTTATCAATCACTACTTAATCTAATTAGTTTAGAAGCTATTTTAAAGAGCTTAATTAGATTAAGCTGTGATTGATAACACTTTATATCTACTTGAGTAGAGCACTTCTTCTAATTCACCTTGAATCTTTATGCTTCCAGTCAAAAGCCTGTTTCGGGCACGAGCTGAGTGTGGAGAGGGATTTGGGAAGCCCCGAGATCACTCTGGGTGCCTGGCACTGGGCTGAGTCAGAGTCAGGGGCCTTGGCAGAGTTCTTGGGCACTGACATTCTGTGACCTAATGGGGTGGCCTTGACAAGGACATCTTGAGATTCTACTTCAAGACACCTGGGTGTGACACAGCAGGAGGAATTGAGGGCTGGCAGGACCTGGAATGAGGTTAAGTGGCTTTGGGTCGAGCAGCACTCTACTCAGCTGGTTTGGAGAACTGGAGTGCAAATAGGGAAACAGGCAGGTCAGCAGAGCTGGGTTGCTTAGCAGGCCCGTAGGTGGCCGGGACCCACCTGGCTTTAGGTGAACATCGGTGGTACTCGCCCACACCCTCTTGGTGAAGAAGAGCTGCTCCATCACCATGGAGTCAGGGTGTGGGGGTGGACAGGGCACAGAGGGGAGATGCTTAGCCTGCCTAGGAAGTTTGTCATTGCCTACAGAGCAGCAGGACAGGGCATCTGGGGCTTGCTCCTGCCCCAGTGCTCTAGGCACTGTGACTTCCCTTTGAGCCTGCAGAGAACTGTAGGGGAAGGGCACAGGAAGCAGAAGGTTATGTCCGGGGTAGGACCTACAGATTCAGTCTCTTCTGGGTTGGGAGTGGGAGGCAGGAAGGGGAGGTGGACCTAGTCTAAACTCAAAGGCTTATTTCTCATCTCCTCTCTGCAGCCCGCATGTGTGATGCCCACCTTCGAGGCCCCTCGGGCATCATCACCTCCCCCAATTTCCCCATTCAGTATGACAACAACGCACACTGTGTGTGGATCATCACAGCTCTCAACCCCGCCAAGGTAAGGCTCTTGGGGAGCGGGGGAGGTGTCCTGTGGGCAGGGCCAGGTTGGGGACAGTTGGTTTCAAGCCCAGACATTTGTGGTGATAGATTCTCTACAGATTCTCTACTTCTTTTAAATTGTTTTTATTAATATTGAGCAAATAGAAAGTATATTTGTAAAATGTAAGCAAGATAGAACATCAATACAGCAAACGTCTGTGCAGCCGTCTTCCAACTTAAGAAAGTAAATCACCGTTACTTTAGTGATGTGTGTTCCTCACCAATCCCATTCCTTTCCCCATACCCTCAGAGGTAATTGTCACCTCAATCGTGAGTTTATTATTCCTTTGCTTTTCTTTATACTTAACACTTAACTGTGTATCACTAAAAATATATTGCTTAGTGTGCCAAAATTTGAATGTCATATAAATGTGATCATGTTGTATGTATCCTTAATCAACTTCACTCAAAATTATGTACCTAAGATTTATCTATGTTATTGTGTGTAGTTTTGCACTGCTATATACATCTTTTCATATATGTATTTCCTATTAATTTTTTTCCATACCCTTTGTTCTTTCTTATAAATCTTATAAGTATCTTGCCAAGATCCACAAAATAATCTGTTGGAAACTTTATTTTAATGATATCAAAACTACAGATCAATTGGAGGAGAACTGATCTCTTTTTGATACTGAGTCTTCCAGTCCATGAATATGGTGTATCTATTTGCTCAGGGTTTCTTTAATGGCTGTGAAAACTTGTATAACTTTTTCCATTACATATCTTACACATTTCTTAATATATGTACTCCTAAATATCTTATATTTATTGTTGCTATTATAAATCATATCTTTTTAAATTGCATTTTCTACCTGTTTCTTGGTGGTGTTTAGAAATGCAATTGATATTTGTACTTTGATTTTTATATATAGCCACTATTTTATAACAATTTATCTGTGAATTCTTTGGGGTTTTCTACATAGACAGTCATCATCTGCAAAGAACGATGGTTTTGTGTCTTCCTTTCCAATCCTTATGCCTTTTCTTTCTTCTCTTTCTTGCCACAGTGTTCTGGCTAGAACCTCCAGTATACTAACAAATCATTGTTATGATGGTGGGCCTTCTGGTCATTGTTTGATGTTAAATAGAATGTTTTTATTTCGCCACCCTTAGGTATGATATTTCCTGAAGTTGGTTTATTTTTAATTTATACATACTCCTTTTTGAATTGGGGAAGTTCCTTTCTAACCCTAGTTTGCCAAGAGCTTTTATGAAGAATGTACATTGAATTTTATAAAGTACTTTTCTACATCTATTAATACAATCATATTATTTTTTTCCTTTATTCTCTTAGTGTAGTGACATTGGTTGACTTTTCTAATGTTAAATGAACCTTGCGTTCCTAGGGTAAACCTAACTTGGTCATTTAGTATTGTCATTTCTATACATGCCTATATTTGATTTGCTAACATTTTGTTTAATAATTTGCTCCTATTTTGTTAGTGAGATTGGCTTGTTATTTTTTTTTTCGTATTTCCCTTGTCAGATATTTATATCAGGATATTCCTAGCCTCATGAAATGATTTGAAGACTGTTTTCTTTCTTTCTATCCTTTGGGGTTATTGGTAGAAGATTGAAATAACTTTTGCCTTAAAAGTTTGGTAGAATTTTTCAGCAAAACTATCTGGGTCTGGTGTTTCCAACAGATTTAAGATTTTAGACTATAGATTTAACACGTGTAATGACTAAAGGATTATTTAGGTTATCTGTTTTTTTCTTGCATTCATTTTACTAAATTTTCAAATCTATTGGATATAAAGTTGTACATATTATCTCTTATTATATTTATGATCCCTGCTGTTATGTTTCTATTCCCTTTTTCATTTCTAATTTGTATCATTTTTTAATTGGTATTACCAGAAGTTTTATATTTTTAAGTCTTTTCAAATAACCAATTTTGGTTTTGTTAATACTCCTTTTAATATATTTATTTTCTGTTTCATCAATTTCTCTCTCTTCTTTATTATTTCATTCCTTCTATTATGCTTGGGTTTATTCTGTTGTTTTTCTAGCATCTTAATTTTGATGCTTAGTCCATTATTTTTCAATTTCATTTAAGCATCGAAGGCTATAAATTTCCCTCTATGAGCTACTTTGGCTACAGAGTTTTATGTGAGGTATTTCTGTTATAGTTTAGTTCTGAATATTTTCTAGTTTCCATTATTGTTTCATCTTTTAACCATGAGTTATTTAAAAGTATTTCTTAATTTCCAAACAGAGGATTTTTCTAGCTGTCTTTTTGTTACTGATTCTAAATCTTGTGGTCAAGGAACATTGATCTGTATTTGAATCATTTGATATTTGTGTTTTTTAGACAATAAATTATTATTTTTCACATATATTCTGTGTAGACTTGAAAATATAAACTTTACTTTTTGCAGTTTTTGTGTTCTAATATGTCCATCACATCAAGCTTGTTAATTATGTTTATATATTTTATATCTTCATTGATTTTTTTGTCTTCTTGATCAATCAACTTCAGAGAGAGGAATATTAAAATCTCCTACTGTTATGATGGGTTTGTCTATTATTCTTTGAAGTTTTATCAATTTTTGCTTTATATATTTTGAGAATGTGTTATTAGAGCACACAAGTTAAGAATCTTCTATCTTCCTGGCGAATCAAACTGTTTCCAAAATAATTATGTACTGACTCTCTTTGTAGTAATTTTTTTGACCTTAAAAGTTTTTTTTCCTTCCCAGCTATTACATCAGCTTTCTTTTGGTATTTGTCTAACAAATCATCTCTATTCTCTTAATATCAACCTTTCTACTTCCTTCTGCTTTACATGTGTTTTGTGGATAGCTGGGTTTTTAAAAATCCAGTCTGACAATGTATCTTTTAACTAGAGAATTTGGACCATTCAAATTATACAATCATTTCTATTCTTTTAGGGTTATCCTAAATACTCTAGAAATATTACTATCAATATGTATACTTAATAAAGTCTAGCATTAGATAATAATTCTGTGTTCCTCCTGGAAAGTCAGGGATCTTAGAACATTATGACTTTAGTTATCTCCTCCCAATTCATACTCTGTGGCACATGTGATTTTCGTGTTATCTTACCTTTTCTCACAAGTCATTATTGTTATTATTTAATAAAGCCAATGTCCATTTAGATTTACTCATATATTCACCACTTTCTTGACTTCTCCTTCTTGTATATCAGTCCTTCTCTTTGAAATTTCTTTCTGTCCAAAGCACATGCTTTAAAATTTATTTTCTTACTGATGACAAACTTACTTGATTCTTATTATATTTGTCTTAAACTGTCTGTTTCTCCCTTTTCTTGAAAGAACACTGGTGCTCGCTGGACATTTGACTCTTGGTTGACAGTTGTGTTCTCTCTGCACGTGGAGATACTGTTCCAGCGTCATCTAGCTTCCACTGTTGCCATCAGTTCATTGTCATTCCTTTGAATGACATCAGTCTGGCTGCCTTTGTGGTCTTTTCCTTGTCTTCAGTGTTCTACGGTTTCACTTTTATTTGTCTAGATGTGAATATATTTGTATTCATCCTGCTTGAATTAATTAAGTTTCTTGAGTCTATGGATTGTTGTCTTTCATCCGCTTGGGAAAATGTTTAGCCATTATCTTTTCAACTGTTGCCTCTTCTTTATTCTTTCTTTTCTCTCCTGGAAGTCTGATAAGACATGTTAATCTTTCTCACTCTATCTTCTGTATTTTTTAACCTCTCTTCTATTTTCCCCTCTCTCACTGTGTTCACTAATTCTCTGTTCAGCTGTGTCTAACCTCTGTTAAGTTCATTTACTAAAGATATATTTTAATTTCAAATATAATTTTTGTTTTATGAAGTCCTATTTTGTTCTTTTTCAAATGTTCTCGGTCATATTTTATAGTCTCTTGCTCCTTACTCATATGTTTAGATCCTTCTTTAATTTTTAAAATGTATTACACATACTTTATATTCTGCGTCTGCTAACGTCAGTATCTGAAGTCTTGGCAGGTTTGATTCTATTCGCTGTTGTTTCTCACCTCTTGCTCCCAGACCTACGTTTCCTTCTTTGTTTTGCAATTTTTGACTGAGTGGTTAAAAGGATAAACTTTGTGAATTCTTTGAGACCTGAGTGGAAGGTGATTTCTTCCGGAGAAAGTTTGTGTTGGCTTCTGCCTAGTGCTGGGGGCATTACCAGCCAGAAACTTATTCACATTAAATTCTCAGTATGAGGGTTTCAAACTACCCAAGTAACATGAAGGCTGCAAACACACGTGAAGGCCGACTTGTGGTTATGGATTCTCAGTGGAAGTTTTCTGGTTTTTTATCTACTCAGTGTCAATGTCAAGGTTTGAGATAAGTGATTGGCTTCCAGATCCACTCAGAGGACGGTAGTGGCAGGTGAGAAGGAAGACAGGCTCATTTCTAGTTCACTCTCGCTATGGGTGTAGCTTTCACTAGCCCAGCTGCATGCAGGGGTGTCGTATTAGAGTCCTCACCTTGGTAGGCTCTAGCTTTTGTCTCCTGTTCCTTCTTCGTGAGTCCCTGAAAACCAAAGCTATACTTCACCAATTTTTTTTTACTATTATTATTTTTTCACAGACAGGACCTCACTCTGTCACCCAGGCTGCAGAGCAGTGGCATAATCATAGCTCACTGTAACCTTGAACTCCTAGGCTCAACCAATCCTCCTCCCACCTCAGCCTCCCAAGTAGCTAGGATTACAGATGTGTGCCACCATGCCCAGCTAATATTTTTACTTTCTGTAAAGACAGGGTCTCACTATGTTGCCCAGGCTGATCTTGAACTCCTGGCCTTAAGCAGTCTTCCCACTTCTGCCTCCCAAAATGCAGGGATTACAGGCATAAGCCACCATGCCCAGCGCACTTTACTGAATTTTTAAAATACACATAAGGCCAAAGCCAGCTTCATGTTCTAAGTTGCATTTTGGGTTCCTATATTCACAGCACTGTGTGCTCTGAGTATTCCTTGTTATGT